ATCATGAGGCTGCAAAGATGTAAAGAAAAGGAAACTTATATTAAATAAGATTAAATATTCAGTTTCATGCCAAATAGTAATTCCAAATGCATCCATTCCCAAATGCATCCATTTCAGCTTCACTGCAGAAATTGCTCATGAAGAAAAAAACATTACAAAATTTATGAGAGGGACATCTAAGTAACCTCAGATTTGGGGTGCTCTGCTTGATTAGTGCTGTTATGTAGAAGCTAAAACAGCTTCAAAAGTATACCTATTAATTTCGCCTCCTGCACTTGATTTTGAAGGGATTATTATTTCATTAATGCTGTATTAAGAGCTAATCCCATTATACTTACTTAGGGTAAATTTCCAGTGGAAAAGCTTTATGTAATCCTGGGATAAGGAGTCACATTTTGCTTGAAATCAGTGGACTAATATTATACCTATGCATATTTCTTTGGTAAATACCTAAACTAGTCCTTATTAATTAAAATTTTTGTAAAATAATTTCTAATCAGAGCTAGCAGGATTTGCAACAAAATACCATCACAGTGAAAAAGGGAGAAGCTCACTCTAGTGTGGCTTTTTTTCCATGCCGTCTTCTAACTACTTCTAATCCTGGTTATGCCTCAATAAAGGTAGCAGCATTTTAGTGAATTTCCTCTAGTGTTAATGATATGTGAATTGACAACAACGTTTGAGAAATTCTTTTGACTACAACAAAGTTACAAAAGTCAAAACGCCACAGGGTTTCACCAGCATCAGCCATGAGCAGAATTTATCTCAACCAATGATTAAAGCATGAGCAGGTTACACTGCTGTCTGGGGACTGGCAAAGTTTTGCTTTCATATCACCATAAATTCAGTATTTCAACTAAAGGAATCATTTTGCTTTTACATGGGAATAGGTAACACCAGAAAATAGTCTTTTTTTGTTTTTGTTTTTTTTTTTTTAATTGCAAATCTAAAATAGAATAACTGTCATATAAAGTATAAAATGCTTGCTTTTGACTGTTTGTTTTTTTTTTCAGCTCGTTGTTCAGTTTTCCAAAATACGATCACAACCTTCAATGGAGTTGAATTTAACTATTCAATGCCTACAAATTGCTACCATATCTTGGTGCAGGACTGTAGTCCAGAACTGAAATTCCTGGTTCTGATGAAAAGACTTGAAGAGTCTGCTGACCTTACAGCAATAAATATCAGACTTGCCAGCCAGTAAGTAATTGCAAACTTAATGACAAATAGATGTCAAGCTGAACATGCTATAAACATGATGACCAGACTGTTAGAGCAGATTGGTACTCGCATAAGACTCATGCAAAAATTACTGACGTCAATGGAAAGATTTCTAGGAATGTCACTGGGATTTGGGACTTTGTCTTTCAAAGGTGCTTTTGAAACATATCTGAGGTTCACAGTAACCTAAAGTCTTTACTCCCCAAAATTCCTCATTAATTTTTTAGCATTTAACCATCTCATTGCAGTTCTTCGTAATTAGGTAGACGCATAAACTATAAATCTGAAAGGGACTATTGTAATCACTTAGTCTGGCCTGCTACACTAAGCTAATAATTAGAACCAATTAGCACCCACAATCATCTCAGCAGAGATGTTCAGAAGTGGGCAAAGCTAAAAAGGGAATTACTTATCCCAGATTAGAGGCACTCTCTTAGGTCATCCCTTAGTTGGTGCATAATGTTCTAATCTATTTGAAATTAACTTAAGACACACTTTGTTTCATCTGGGAGCAATCACCTCTGCCATCATAGGTTCTTCTTTAAAAGTATAGTCTGATACTCCAAGTTTTATGGGATTATGCATACCGGAATCATTGTAGGGAGTATTCTTCAAAGCGCATAAATAGGCTTTGATCTGTAAGATTTCATTACAAGTAATTATTTATTTCTGAAAATTGTGTGTCTAACTGTATGATAATGTTAGAGAAACAGAGAGAAACTAGTATTCCCTGCACCTGTTTTGTGGAAGAACAGAAGGATGCTTGTTTTATAGGCTCTATCTTTTGAGATAAAGACATTCCTCGTCACTGTATCATTCCTGATCATTTCATACAACTGTATGGATGTGCTTTTGATGTGCCTGAGCTTCATATTTCTTCATTAGAGCAAACACCACTCTGAAGAAAATACTACAATACACAGACTGTTGAGGCTGTAAGAGAACCACCATAGGGAATCCAATCTTACTTTGAAATGTAAAGCACCTTCAATTTATGCAAATGTAATAACAATTATATTGTTCCGCAGCTAGGGTCCCCGTAGCCTGGTGTCTTCCTGCCTGAACTGTGGCCACAAGCAGACACTCAGAGATGAATAAAGCCAGGGAAAGGTGTATTGTGAACACTCCTCCTGGCACGCTTTCCTGGGCTCTCTTGATCTTCCTCCCAAAGCGTTGTAGGTGATTCATGCCAGAATGATATGCACATCCTGCAGTGTTGGTTACACCAGGACTAGAAATTGTGAGCTGAGTAGGGTGAAGGAGAAGCATTTGTTTATACTCATTTCCTTTACTTCAAGTGAGGTTGACATGTATGTTTCCGATGGACTCATCCAGTTGAAGATTAATGGTGTTCAAGTCCCAACAGATGTTCCATACACATCTAATTCTGGTAAGAGACTCACATTTATATTTCGTTTAATCTTTTCTGATGTTTTGAAGAAGGAGAGGATGTGATCCTGCAAACACGTCTCAAGATAAAGATCACCCTAATTTGAGAAATAATTAGGTGACTTGAACACAACTTCACGCTAGTTTTCATAGGGGGTGGCAAGAAAGATGAGCAAAGAGATACTGATCCTGCATATCTTTGCACAAACCAAATAATGCTGGGCTGTGGTACCTTGTGCTGATCACAGACACCCACAGAAGAAGCATCTAGATGTCGCCCGGCCATGGCCACCCTTGTCACAGGCCTTAGGCTTGACCCAGGGCAGGGAGCAGTACGGTCTTCCTCATTTCCCCCATTGCTTTCAAGATACACTAGAGCTTGCATTAAGTCCCCAGGAATTTAACGCGTGGTTCAGGTTGGACCCTAAAACAATAGCTTCCTTTCAAAAGAAATCCCTTTTTGCTTTTTTGTTGCAGAAGCAAGCATGCTCATCAGCCAGGAAAAGGAAGGCCTGTCACTAAAAGCTCCGGATTATGGCATAGATAAACTATATTATGATGGGCATGGACTTGAGGTATACTTTTAAATTATTTTCAGTGGGTTTATTTTCAGAAGAGAAAAATACCAGTGCATCATTTCTTTATTTCCACAAAGATTCAGGTTGCTTTCTGGATGGCTGGAAAAACATGCGGTATCTGTGGAAAATATGATGCTGAGAAGGAAAGGGAATATCAAACGCCCAGTGGATATTTAGCTAAAGATGCAGTGAGTTTTGGTCAATCCTGGATCATCTCAGAAGACCCCTGTGCTGGAGGTACTAAGTTTCTAACATATATCAATGTCATTGCTTTTGACTAAGTCACATGAATAGATGATTTATATTAATTGCAGCACAATCACCATATTTTTCACTAGTTTTGTGATTAGTGGCCATAGACTAAAAAAATAATCTGTTTTTCCTGAGTTTGGTAGCTCACTGAAAGTTCTGATTTTGTTGCATTTTTATATCAGCTTCTTACTCACTATGTAGTTACCTGAAGTTTGTGTGTTCCAGATAAAATCATAAACTTAAAACTCCCTAAGATGGTAAGTTTGTGTGAAAAGTATGCTGTTCGACTGTTGACAAAAGGCATTTTATGTCATCCTTAATAGTTTCATTCTTTATTTCCATTCTGTTATTTCCAGGCTTTTAGTTTCCTAGGAAAAAAATAATAAAATCTAGCCCTGGCTATCAAACTCGAGGACATTTGAGGTGGGAAATACCTGTTTTAATTTCCTCAGGCTGAAGATGAATCCTTCAGCCCGGGAACGATTGTTCTTCCATCCAGGTCCTGCATAAAAATAACAACATGAAGGTATTGATAACATTAGGGTGCACTACATTTTGTGTGGAACCCAACCCTCTGAGCACATGGTGTCATTTTTAGAATATATTCTTAGATCAAGTTTTCCTGGGGGGACTGGTCCAGAAAAGCCTCGATCACAGAGGCTTAAGGCCTAAGCTATACAGCCATGGCAAGGCAGGTGTGATGCTACTCACAGTGTGGAAGTGGATATACGGATGTCTTGGAGCCACTACTACCCCAAAATGAAGTCTGGGTAAAGTTGAGCGTCAGTTGACAGGTTTTTCACATGGATCTTTTTGGATTTGGACACCCGTGTCCTACCTAGGTCCTATTTGGCAAGCCCCTGTCCTTGGGATGGTGCTCCACATGCCTGGTTCTCTCACAGCCTAAGCCACTGACAGAAAATCAACTCACTTCAATCAGATAAGTGTCACGTAGCTTGTGTCACTTGGTACATCCATTGGTCTTTGTTGTTGCCAATTCTACAAATTAAGTCCAGAAGGTTAATTATGTAAATTCTGTAGGTGCTTTAAGAGAGTTCATGTTTTCCAGCTTGTAAGCTGCAGCGCAAATTTGTCAAAATTGAGAAGCCGGTTGCATTTGAGAAGAAGGCAGCAAAATGCTTCTCGGTGGAGCCAGTTCTGCACTGCGTAGAAGGCTGTTCAGCCACCAGCAGCGTTCCCATCTCCGTGGGCTTCCACTGTGTGCCCGCTGGTGAGTCTGCAGAATGGGTGCGCACCACCACCCGTGCGTCCAACTGCGATCCTGTGAAAAACCATGAGGTTGACGGTACTAACACGAGTACCTTGCTGTGTAAAAATCCCTCTCACGCGACCTCTTTTTCCTCTTTTCTCATTTACAGACTCCGCTCTCAACCTGGAAGGGCAGATTAGGCTGGACCAGAAATCTGAGGACATCGTGAGCACAGTTTCTGCTCATACGGCGTGTTCCTGCCACCAGCAGCCGTGCCCGGCGTGACGCCCCACTTCACAGCGTCCCCCCCTTTTCTGGGCATCAGCCCGGATGGCCCGTGACCCGCGGACATGGCCGGTTTGGACAGCGAGGAAAAGGCCCTGTCCCCTTCAGGGGAGCCTTATTCTCAAGTTATTTTGAGATTTCGGAAATAATTCTGGACACCCTTCGCCGGGTTTGATCTCTTAATAAACCGTTGCTCTGTAAAAGCGGTCAGTCAAGATCATTTCTCTCTGAACGAACGGTTCCCCTAATGCGGGCCTGCCCGGAGCGCCGTG